AGGAGGGTGAAAAGAAGGAGCCTTTTGCTTCAAACCACACTGCAGGCTGAGGGTATGCTAAAGTCAGCCTTAACACGTCCTACTTTGTTTCCAAGGCAGTTACTGTGTCAGGAGAAAGCACAACGAGGTCCTGATTTTCCTCTGTCTCAAGCCATTCTCCCATTGAAGAAGCAGGCAAACCTCCCCAGCCCCTCGCCCTGCTCAGGTTTTGGCAGGCAGTGGTCCAGCTCCTCAGTCATTGTCTCTCTTCAGTCATTGTGGCCGCTTCTCCCAGTGGCATCATGTGAATTGCTGCTGATCTCTGTATCCTGCTTTGCTGTGGTGTCTCCAGTTTGAAAGGAATTCATTACCATGGCTTCTCGTTTCTGTACAAAACATGTCATACAGAGCCAAAACACACTCCTTTTTTTGTTTTGCTTCCCCACATGCCACTGCTTGTCCTATTCAAAGGCATTCTTAACTGCTGCTTTCTTTGTGCAAGTACTCAGTCACATAGATTTTCCATCACCAAAGCTCTGAATCAAAGAATGTGGTACTAGGGGAAAGATGGTATTCTTTTTCTTTTTAGAAAGAAGAAAATTGTTTTGTTTTCATCATTCCCAGAAGACCAACCCTATTTTCTTGTCAAAACAACACGAGAAAAAAAAAAAATCTTTATTCTGAATAATTCTGTATGGATTAAAAAGATCATTTGAAGAGACAGTTTATTTGAAATCTGTATTTCCTGAGAAAAAAAAAAAAACCTCTTTCTGTTTGAGTAGGCATGGAAAAACTCCTTGTATTTCCTTAAATCTCTGAAACTGAAAAGACTGTGTCTAAGCTACTGTTTTCTGCTAGAGCAAATTGTCTTGCTATACCGCTGGATGTATTTGCTTTGGAATATCAAAAATAGACTCAGCCTCAGATGCAAGCTAGCAGAATTTTCTTGTCTTGTTCAGTGGTTGACATAAAAAAGAAAAAGAAGGAAAAGGTTCAAGCATCCTTTTGAGCTATCTCCAAAAAATAGAGAACTCTGAGGTGAGGAGCTTCCTCTAGTGCTGCAAGTTATTCTTCTGGAGTTAGTGGAAGGGTCATAAAAATGTGGAGAAGAGCTTGATATACAGGTGTAATGGTTTTGTATTTGTCCAGGATAAATACTCCAGTTTTAATCTCAAAACTACTTCTGGTATTTTTTTATTTGGTAAATAAAAAAGGAAAAATGAATGAAGTTGATGCTCTCAGAAAATAGCATATATCAGACTGGGAAAGAAAATGCTTGCTTTAGAATATCAGTCCTGTGCAGAAAACCTCAGTGAGCGCTGATGTAGGTGGAGTCATTTTCTCCAGATGATGCAGAAGATGCTGGGCTGGAAGTTGCCTTGCTGTAAGGAAAGCCAAATGAGAGGAGTGGTTCCCATGTCAGCCTTCTGCCATCCAGATCACCAGCCTGACATCCTTCCTTGTGCCACTCATGACGCTAGGGCAGCTCTGGGAAGCTGTGTCTGGATGGAAGAGAAGGCATTGACTTAGGATAAGAGCAGCTTTGTAAAGCTTATCTGTAGAGTGAGCTGAAGTGATGCTGTACTGATGGGTAACTCTTCTTGCTTGGTAAGCTTGCTTTTGCAGGAACAGTCTTCTACAGTAAGAACACAAAATGTGGCAGCAACCCTATGTCGTCTTAAGCTGTTGCCACAAGCTGTCACCTCGGTTACTTGACAAATGGATTTTTAAACCTGTAAATGGCTTTGGCACAGCTCATTTGTTTTCTTTTTCTTTTTTTTTTTTTTTTTTGAGCACAAGGCCAAACTCCCAAATTGTGCTGTTTTTTCCCTTTTGCTTATCAGGTAAATATCTGGTTAGGTATAATAGTTAGACCAAGCTCAGAAAAAGTTGATCAGAGCACAGCAATCCTTTGTGCAACGTCACCTTCTATATCCTTATCCTAGTGTCCTTTTTCCCATTGCTCTTTATCTATTCCTGCCATTTTGCACTTTGGCTAGAACCACTTTGGCTGCCCTTTACTAAAGCGTATTGTGAACATTGGTAAACATATGCATTAAGGAAATTTACTTCAGCTAAAGTAATTATCTAAGCCACGGCATTAAAAAAAAATTGAGCAAATCTAGTCTCATTAAATTAATGATGACATTAGTGGGTCTCATCTTTTTGACTTCATTTTTATTCACCGCTAGTAGAAGAAAAACAAACATCTCAGTGATATCTCAAGTTCAAGTGCAGGAATGATAAAACAAGAGCAGGAAGGGAGAAGTATTATGGAGTCAAACATCTATTTTTTCCACTGCAAAATGTGCCAAATATTAAATTTTATTTTTTGTGGTGCATCCTTTGCATCATCTGTTTCCCTTGATTTTGTTGTTTTGTGCCATTTTCCTCCATAGGAATAAATATGAAGAAATGTAGCAGTTATCAAACTACTGAACTACAGTTTTAGCTTCCTGAAGTTGTATTTTCAGTGTAAAAATACGTTCAGGCTTTTTTTTTCATCCTTCAGTTTAGAACCATTTTCTGCTGTGGCCAATTATGATTTATTTGCCTGCAGTTGCGCAGTTTTAAGGTGTTTGTAGTATATAAGCACAATAAAAAATGAGTAGCAGGGCTGAAGACAGGGAAACACAAAAATAGTATAAGGGTAGATAATTTTAAGAAAAAAAATAAAGCTCTTTCTGTTTTTAAAAACAGACGTCAAAAGTCATTTGGGTTTTTAGCTGAGTTTATAAAGCTTCTTTAGTGCAGAGATAACAATTTCTTTTATGTCTATCAGTGAGTTTATTGGCTTGTAAATCTGAAGGCTGTGAATTTTATGAAAGAAAATCCTTGAATTTTGTGTATACCTATTCATTTATGCCATTGCTATGATGCAGATTTGTAGTGAAGCTTTTAAGTCTCCAGTATAAACAGTATTATCATTAGCATCATGAAATATGAAAAAAAATCAGTGCTTACTGAATTTAGCTGACAGAAAAGGTCAAGGCAGACATTAATATGTGGCCCTGGACTTTCTGCAGGGATACAATCTGCAGGCACACAAACTGCAGGCACACAATCCGATTTTTGCAATTAAGTTTTGCTGAGAGTTCATGAATCCCTCTGAGTTGCAAACCATTGTCTGGGAACAGCTGCTTTAATTTTGAGCTGTTCATTTTAATGTCTTCAATTGTTTTGTATGATGCTTTGTTATGAATCGGGTTTTATGTAACTTCCATCAATTATCAGATGGATCAAAAATTGTTAAAATCTTTGCATTAGTTCCGTATGGCACTCTTGCCTCCTTTTCTGCTACAGTGAGCATTGCTGTTGATTCAAAATTCAAGACTTGAGCTTGATTGAGATTGAGATTGAGATTTTTGTAGATTGAGAACTTTGTAGGCATTTTATGGAGCAGATGCTCATAGGTGTTTGGCACGGTGGGTTCATAAAGGATGCTGCAGAATCTGTTGTGGACAAAGCCTTTTAAGCCCAAAGCCTTCCTGCTCAGGTGGGATGCAGAGCATGAAGACTTGAGGTTGTGAATTAAGTTTGAGATAGTAGTGTTTTCCATTTGACTTGGAGTCCGTGAGTGTTCTGGAGCTGAGGAGAGTTGCTAGCTAGCAGCAGTACTGCTTCTTCTTGTCCCTCTGCCAAGGAAATCTCACTTGGGCTACTCAGTCCTTTGGTGCCACACATCCTGCTTGAGAATATCTTACCTTGACTCTGGTTCTGTTTATCAGTGACTTACTTAGAGATGTATTGAAGGTTGTGTTGTGGCCTTGTGGCAGAATAGGTACAGCTGTGTCCTGTCTGCATGCAAGGTTACCTGGACACCAGCTGGAAAAAACGTCGTGCTAGATTTTGCTGCTAATGACAAAGAAGCAAAGCTAAGTGGTGGCAGAAATCCTTTTTTTTTTTTTTCTTTCATGAAAATAACTCTTCCTCAGGCAAGTAGCTATGTATACAAATCGTTCTTCGCTAACAGACCTGTACAGCTTTTGGTTTTGAATCAGTGCATGTAATACTTCCTATACGGGGGGGGGAGGGGGTTGATGAAAATGTGAAACTATAGCCATAAAGTAAAGATTCTTTTCTCCACCAGCTATGACTTGCATTACTGTGGTTTTTTGTTCTTTTTATTTTTTTTGTTTTTATGGCAACATATAATGTCATCTATATGAGTTGTTCTGAGAGATACATCAGGTGTGATAAAATGTGTAACACCTAGAATATTTCACCAGAGTTTATTCTGGCCCAAACAAAGCTGTCTGCAGAAATAAAATCAAGTAAATAATGGAGTAAAATAATTTATATTTTTGCTAGATTTCATATCATTTTCTGTATGAAATGTTTTTAGGACCCTTTAAAGTTCTCTGAGATACAGAGAAGAAAACTTTGTTTGCCAGGAATGTTTGGCTTTCTCTTCAGTGTGAAAGTATTGTCTGCTTTTTGAGCATAAACCAGCTACCAAGCTGGAATAGGTTTAATTAATTTATGCTCCCTTTGCTGGCCTTAGAACTGTGCCACACAGATCTCTCTCACACCTTTAAAACCTGCAGTAATTTGATGGAAATTGAGAGAACATTGGTGGGAACTGGGAGAACGTTTCCATCTGGAAGACCCAGCAGCTCTGAGCAGTGGGTAATGGCATTTTTGAAGTAACCTTACAAAAACATTGGGAGCTTTAAGAAAAGAAACAAATAAGATATTTTGTGATAAGTGTGTGTACATTCAGTTTCAGCAGATGTGCAGTCTGTTGTATGGTATAGGGGAACCGTACATCTGCCATCCATAGAACTGTGCCCTGCATCCAAAAATTGTTTCATGTTTTTGCCTGGTGCTTCATGATAATCATATTTGTAGTACAGTATGGAAAAGTAGAACTGAACTGATCAAGTGGTTCAAAAATAATTGAAATAGGCCAAGCTTGTGTGAAACTAAGGTGCAAGACCTGTTGTGCCTGGGAGCATTGTTTTGTAGAGATCACTTAAGAACTGTTACGTATTCTTTTTTTTTTATTTTTTATTTTTAAGCTGGACCTGTGATCTGCAGAATGCTAACATACCCTCCAACTCGAAGAGCCTTAATTGTGGGTTGTGGTCTGCAGATGTTTCAACAACTGTCAGGGATTAACACCGTCATGTATGTATCTGCTGCTTGCTTCTCTTTTAAAAATATATTTAAAAAAAGAAAAAAAGAAAAAAAAAAAGGGAGAAAAATTGGACCAGTTGTAGATGGCCTTCTGGAGAAAATCTGAAATATGAGAAATTGAGTGTGAGAGATGGAATGCTGGTTCTAAATCTGTATATTGATATATTTGGCATCTCAGCAAAGTGATGCAAGACGTTAGTATAAGGGTAAATGTTTATATAGACATGACATTGCAAACTACTCTGAGAGAGACATTAGTATATGCTGGGGTTTACAGTCCAAGCTATGCAAGCATAGATAAGAAGGTACTCTTATGACTTGCATTTGTGTGCAAATAAATCAAAATGCTGTGAGTATGAGACTGTTGACCATGCAAACGGAATGGAAAATTACTGTGAAGTGCTACAGAAGGTAAGATGTTAAGGGATGAAACATTTGCCTTATCATGTGTTCTATTACGTGTACAAAGACTCAGCAGATGCAGAGATGAAAAAGAATATATTGTGTTTCCTGATAAACTGTCAGCTCACGTGAGGAGTAGCTCATGCTAAATGTACATTGCACAAGACCTACTTTAAGATGAAATTACAGCTGAGCTTCCCTTCAAGAGTAGCCATAACAATCATGATTTCTCTGTTACTTAAGAGGAATTCTAAAATACATTGCAGTAACATTTTATGGAGAGATTATGTCTGAATGAGGAAGCTGGTTAAGAAATAGTTAAAAGGAAGAGCTTAAATAATAAAGCTTTTAGTGTATTGAAAGCCTCTGTATTAAATATTAAATATCTACCATCTATTATAAGTGGAAAAAAAGACAAATAGTATTGTTAAGCTGTGAAGAAGGGAAGTCCAAAATAGACTTTATAAAGAGTGACATTATAAAGTGGAAATTGTAACCCAGGATGAGAAAGAAGAGAACGCACAACTGCTAAGTTACCTGTAAAAATCAGAAGGCACAGAAGGAGCTCTGAAGAAATCTTCAGGCACAGCAGAGGAAGCAACATAACAGGGTCTTTAGGTCCAGTATGGGTCAGGGCATGAGAACAGTAGCAGGAGATAAATCTTAAAGACCCTTGTTGCGTCTGTGTTGATTATGGAGGAAATATGAAAATTCCCACACTAGAACTTACTTAAGATGCCTCAAGTGTTCTGTTGCAAACTGTAGAGTTAGAAAAAGCAGATTAAAATGAATAATGAATTGTCTAGATCTAATCAGGGTGTGCTCAATAGGTCTGGACTATTTCAAATGCATAATAACAGAATTTGGAAACGTAACTTTCTCTGTCTGAAGCTCCAGTCCAGGAAGTTTTATTTCTCACCATACCAAAATTAAAACTGTCACGGAATCAAAGGAGGAGATGTGTTTATGAATATGAAAAACATATACACAGGGAAGGTAAGATAATGAAGAAGAAGCAATGTAATTGTTGGATGCATTCTATAGCTTGAAGTCTGATGGTAGGAGAGTTGGTGGGCATGTGAGGACTGTGCCATACGATCCAACCACACTCATCCATGGCAGCCAGTTTCTTCAAGAAGTCACATGATCACAAAAGTAAGAAAATAATCCTCCTGGGTTAATAACTTTTTAGATAAGAAACAAAGAATAAGAAGAAAATGTCACAGTGGAGGAAAGTCCTGTGTAGAATCCTGCAGGAATCTACTTGGAGATCTTTGCTGTTTGACATTTTTAACTTTATGAAGGAGGTTAAACAGCAAAAAAACAGCTTGTACTTGTACACTATTCAGAAGGTTAACATCCCAAATCTGTGAAAATGAACTGTTGTGGGAAAATAACACAAAATGACAAGGGAAGTGGCACAAGTGTTAATTTTATAATACTTTGCAGCAACGCTTGCTGCGGAGAATTGTCTCGAGATCTTGAAGCTGAATATAATTCAATATATAAACAACAATGATATTCATGATCAGTCTGTAATAGTTCAAACAGCTGTAGATATTGTTTTTTTTATAAATATGGATAAACCAGGTTGTGTATGGGGAGATTGACACCTGTATTTGAACACAGTAGTCAGAACTCTGCAGCTGGGAAAAGAAATAAGTTGAGAAGAAATGCACATATACACATATAAAAGAAATACACATATAAAATTATTAATGCTGTGCAAAAATTGGGAAGGTTATGGTTAGTAATTAATTCTTATATCAGTTCTGTTGACTTCTGGTTCTTACCTAACAGTAAAATAAACACAAGGGAACATTCTTTTCATACAACACATAGTTACAGGATGGACCTCATTGCCATGGGATGTTAGATGTTATGGATTCCAAAAGTAGAAATAAATTTAGAAGCAATCAGAGAACTTGATATAATAAACATTATGTAACTATTAGTATAGTTTATATGGATGCAGCCTTTGGCCAAGGGCAGTCTTTTTCGCATGCTGTTTCTTGCTGCTTTGGGGATGTATTCCTAGGCCAGTTCCAAAACCTGGCAGTTTACAAGGTTTGTGACTCTGCTAGGTTGACTCTGCTTATTTCAACCTTTACATGTTTTAAAATCTCAAACTACTTCAACTGTAGGAGGTTTTGCAAATAGTTTAGAATTGACCTAATTTGCTTTTGGATGTGTAGGTGGACAGAACTGCAATAAAACATTTCTGAATCCTGACTTTAAAACAAGAAAATGCCTAAAATAAACAAGTGAAGGCACTGTTGTTAAATGCCTGACTTGTAAACCACTTGCAATATCTAGTATTTTTTAACAATCTTATATAAGAAAGTTTTTATTTATCAAGTATGCAAGATAAACATTCTCCTATGAAAGGATATTTTTCAAATACAAGTAAGCATCTGTCTATTAATGGTTTGCTTGCATAGAGTTGATGATTGCTTTTTAATGCAGTAATTAAATGGTACCTTGTGGAACTGTCAGATTGTATTAATTTTTTAAAGAGTACGTTTCTCTCCCTAACATTTGGTTCTGTCATTCTGGGATTTCTGTTTTGTAGCAGCAGGAAAATGGAGGTTGTAGGGTTTCACTGTTTTTGCAAACTCAGTTACCAAAACCCATTGCTTGTAAAAAAATGTTTTGATGGTTGTTGTTTACTGTAACTTGCTGGTGCTGCTGAATGTCCTCCTTGTATGCTGCAGGAGAAAGGTCTTACCATCCTGTTTTGCTGTTGCCTGCCTTTCCCTTGTAGAGCACTGAGCAGCCTGTACTTTGCCCCTTTCTCCATACATATTCCCACAGCACACTTCTGCACTGTGAGCACTGAGCCTGGTGGCATGCATGATGGGCCCCAGCTTCTTCTAACTTTTTAACTTGGGACTTTCCATTTCTTCTGATGCAAAGGGATTTGTTAAATCTTGTATTTTAGAAAGGAATTCTCAGAGGAGCGAGTTTGTGTGGATCTTTAAAGCTAGTAAATAAATGAGTGTTAGTAATAGTGATAAAAAATACAAAGCAGGAAAACTAAATGAAAGTATAAGGAACAAAGTAGTTAAACAATAATTAGAAAGTATGGGTGTTAGAGGTAGGAAATTGTGTAGAGGAGTTTTTCAGAGGTCTAAAAATCATCATCAAGTGTCCCCAGGAGCAGGAGAGATCCTAAAAAGCAAGAAACAAACCCCAAAACACAGAGACAACAACAGTTGTCAACTCTTCAGCGTTTAAGGGTTCAGAAATCCCTTATCGAGTTTTTAACCAGAAAATATTCATCGGTTGTGAATCCAAGGAGGGTAACAAAGTCCATATGTAGTTGGATTTCTCTTGGGAACGGTGAAACAAGAACTCAAAGAACATTGGTAAGAATTCTTGAAGACTCTTGCCACACCGCTGTGCAATAAGCTGGTGTAGTTTCATATTGTGTCAGCCATGTATGCGCATATGTCATCCAACTTTGGGGAACCAGGAGCTTTAGTCAAGGACAAGATGTTACTGAAATGGTGAGAACAGCATGCAGAGCAACCTCTGCATTGAGGGGGTGAATCTAGAAAAGACACAGAGTGTAAAAATAGGCTAAAGAGCATGTGACTCTTATGGGAACAAATGCTAGCATGATAAATTTAGTCATTAAAAGAATAAAGCTCAATGACCTATTACTTTCATTCCTTTTTCTTCCCCCCCCCCCTTAAGAACAAGATAACCACTGCTGGAGGTGGTGCCTGAAGTAGAAAAAATGTTTCCTTTTTGTCAAAGCTTTTGCCTGTAAAAGATTAAGTCAGGCAATTTTAGGCAACCATTTCTAACGCTTCTGCAAGCAGATCTGAAATAGTTTAGCTTTCCAGTTTCTTGTCATTCTGATATTTTCTCTTCTTGAAAACAGAAGCTCATTCTTCCAAGCCTCGTTTAACAAATCTGTCTGACAAGGTATTGAGAAAGACCCTGGGAAGAAATGGTATTCCAAAATACTGAGTGCTGCAAGTTAGCTATCTAATAATAAGGTGTCCCAAAAGTGTGCTGAAACAGGGGTATGCAGGTATGTTCAAGCCCACGGTGACTGTTCTTAAAATATGGGAGGAGAGGACCATTTAATGGCAAAACTGTAAGCTCAATTTTCCCATTGGTTCCTTCTTTTAATAATAATAGTAATAACAATAAAAAGGCAGAAAATATTTGGGGGGGGGGAGGATGTGGGTGGGGGCATGGGGAAGATGAGGCTTGAAGGATTTGGCTATTTCAGATTATCTGGTGAAAAACTTCAGTAGAGGAGAAAGAAGCAAAGACTTCAGTCAGTGTTTTAGCTACATTCTCAAATCTTAGCAAGACTGACTTCTGAAAACATTCCTGACACTATGCAGCTTTACTGCACTCAAAAGAAAAAAACTGTCATGGACAAGAAAGCTTTCGGAACAATACTGAGTTCCCTTGAATACTAAGCAGTAATTTAGCCGTAATTGGAGGCAGCTCAGTATTGTCTTGTCAGAATTTCTTGAAGGTACTGTCACCTGTACTGGCATTTTTGGGACTGGCTGATGTGTCTTCTCACAGATTGCCTGTGCCCCAAAGAAGACCATACGTCTGAG